TGACTAGCCCCTACGCCAGTAAACTAGAATGATATTTTACAAATGCACATCAGATCACGTCACATCCCTGCCCAAAACCCTCCAATGGCTTTCCAACCTACTTCAAATAAAATCTCAAGGCCCTGTCACAGCCTATTAGAACCTACCCATTCTTATCACTCTCTGCCTTCATGACTCTGGACTGGCCACACTGGTCTTCCTGCTGTTCGCTGAACACACCAAAGTCACCCCTGCCTCAGAGTCTCTGCACTTACTGCTCTCTCTACTTGGAACAGCCATCCCCAAGATCCTTGCAGGTTGCACTCCCAACTCTCCCTTAGATCTCTTGCCACATCCTCTAAAAAAACTCCCTCACTATTCTGTCCAAAATGTCCCCCTACTACAACTACTCAGCATGCTCTCTTATCCTGCTTTAATTTTCTTTATAGTACTTATTATTGTCTAACATTAATCACTCATTTATTCAACAAATATCTTCAGAGCACCTCATATGGTACTGTGTAACACAGAGATTCTCACTGCGGACATCTGGCAATATCTGGAGACATTTTCAATTATCACAACTTGGGGGAATGCCACTGGCATCTAGTGGGTAGATGCCAGGGATATTGCTAAACATCCTACAAGGCAAAGGATAGGCCTCACAACAAATTATTCTGCAAACAATGTCAGTATTTCAGAGGCTGACAAACACTGCTCTAAAGTAATACATAAAACTTCCAGCTCTCATGGAGCTTACATTATGTTATGTTATATTATTATGTTATATGGTAAGTTGGTTATTTTCCTCTTATTTAACACTTTATCACCAACACTTTATCTTTATTTCGATTGAGACTGGAACATAGCATGAGTTCCATTGCATGAATGAATGAAAGATAATTTTCTTCCACCCAAATCATGCAAGCAGTTACTGACAGATGCATTACTCCTTAAAAATAATCATTTACCCACCCCATATTAAACCAATATTCTTACAACTCAGAGAAGAAAGGAAATCCATCTTTCAATACTGCAGTCTGAACCTGTAGTTTTGCTCTTCTTGGCAATGATGACATCTGGAAAAAACAGAATATGAAATCAGTGTGACTTGAATAGTCTGATCACTTTATTTGGCTATAAAATGATGTGTCATTCAAAACTAACAGTCCACAGGGAAAAAAAAGCATGTTTATTCCTAAGCTCAAGCACTGGTTTCCCCAGCTATGTAGCTGACAATTAAAAGAGCAGCTAGGCTCGGTGCCTGTGGCTCAAGTGGCTAAGGCACCAGCCACATACACCCAAGGTGGCAGGTTCGAATCCAGCCCAAGCCCGCCAAACAATAATGATGGCTGCAACCAAAAAATGGCCAGGCGTTGTGGCGGGCGCCTGTGGTCCCAGCTACTTGGGAGGCAGAGGCAGAAGACTCGCTTGAGCCCAGGAGTTGGAGGTTGCTGTGAGCTGAGATGCCATGGCACTCTACCCAGGGGAACAGCTTGAGGATGCTGTCTAAAAAAAAAAAAAAGAGCAGCTAACTGCCTTCTAATAGGTTAGAAAGCTTGAAAGTCTGGGCTACATTTTCAAAAATATAAGCTCCTACAGGATGACAACTCTTTGTTTTCTTAGAGTTGTGTGCCTGAGTATTCTCAAGTATTATTTGATGATAACACTATCAAGCAGTAAATTATAAAGTCCTTTATTAAACTATATGTCAAAGACAGAAACATTTTTCCTTCACCTGTTTCTTATGACAGTATAAAGTAGAGGCCTCTCTACAAAGTTGGCCATGAAATGAATGATGCTGATTGGCTGAAAAAGTAGCCAGGTTATTCCTAAAACAAGATAACCATTCCCTTATAATAAAAGTTCGTAGTGCTTATATAAAATGACTAGCCCCTACGCCAGTAAAGAATATTTACCAAATTCAAAAACCCAGCTCTAGTGCTCTCCTCTTCTCCCTCAGAGATACCAACAAGTCGCATGTGTGTTCACTTTGCAGTCCCAAATCCCTCTAGGTGATTGCTGTAAAGCCACAGCCTTTGTACTTCTCTGCCACTTTAAATGACTTGGTTAGCTCAAGAGCTTGTCTTAAAGCTCTGAGATTCCTTCTTCTCCTTGGCTTCATGTGTTGCTAAAACCTTCTGCTGTTCTGAAACTCCCTGAATGACTTTCATTTCTTTAAGTCCCATTACATCTTTCTTGATTTTGCCTAGTTTTCAGTGACTTTTTCATTAATTTTCTGAAATTTTTTTGAGCTTCTTTAGCTGGTTTTCAACTTTCTCTTCAATTCCATTCATCTTATTTGCCATCTATATTCCAAATTCCATTTCAGTCATTTCAACAATTTCCTTATAGTTGCAGTTCCCTGTTGTTGCCCCATTATGATCCCTTAGGGGTACTGATCTATTTTGAGTTTTCATGCTGCAAGGTTCTTTTGCTGGTTTCTTCTCATCTTTGACTTCTTTTCTCTGCTTAGGACTAACTGGTTTCAAAGGGCTCCGGTTCCTTGCTGGAAACTCTCTTTGATTGGAGTGAGGGGAGATCACAAGATGGCGCTCTAGTAAAAGCAGCGGCTAGATGTGAGTTTTATGGGTTCTTGCAGCGGTGCAACTTTACTCTAACCAGGTCTCAGTGTACTGGCAGCTTGATGGTGTGGGATCCGTAGCAGGGCTTTAGACTCTGGAATAAATCTTCCAACGCTATTATAGTGATAGAGAAAATGAGGTGGGGTCTCCTAGCACAGGTGCAGCACTAGAGACTTGAGGATGGTGTCTCCAGGTAGGGGCTCAGCGCCTGTGGCTCAAGTGGCTAAGGCACCAGCCACATACACCTAAGGTGGAGGATTCGAATTCAGCCTGGGCCCACCACACAGCAATGATGGCTGCAACCAAAAAA